TCACTGGGCTGAGCTCGAGGCTGATGCCGAGCTTTTAAACTTGAGGCCTTTTGTTGGGCTAAGCTCAGGGCTGAAGCTGAGCTTTAATCTTGAAGCCCTTCATTGGGCTGAGCTCGAGGCTGATGCCGAGCTTTTAAACTTGAGGCCATTTGTTGGGCTGAGCTCAAGGCTGAGGCCGAGCTTTAATCTTGAAGCCCTTCATTGGGCTGAGCTCGAGGCTGATGCCAAGCTTTTAAACTTGAGGCCCTTTGTTGGGCCGAGCTTTAATCTTGAAGCTCTTCATTGGGCTGAGCTCGAGACTGATGCCGTGCTTTTAAACTTGAGGCCCTTTGTTGGGCTGAGCTCAAGTATGAAGCTGAGCTTTAATCTTGAAGCCCTTCATTGGGCTGAGCTCGAGGCTGATGCCGAGCTTTTAAACTTGAAGCCCTTCATTGGGCTGAGCTCAAGGTCGTGGCTGAGCTCTTAAACTTGAAGCCCTTCGTTGGGCCGAGCTCAAGGTCGTGGCCGAGCTCTTAAACTTGAAGCCCTTCACTGGGCTGAGTTGGAGCTCAAGGCTGAGGCTGAGCTCTTAAACTTGAAGCCCTTCGTTGGGCTGAGCTCAAGGCCGTGGCCGAGCTCTTAAACTTGAAGCCCTTCGTTGGGCTGAGCTCAAGGCTGAGCTCCTAAACTTGAAGTCCTTTGTTGGGCTGAGCTCAAGGCCGAGGCCGAGCTAACAATTTTGAAGTCCTTTATTGGGCTGAGTTGAAGCTCAAGGCTGAGGCTGAGCTTTTAAACTTGAAGCCCTTAACTGGGCTGAGTTGGAGCTCAAGGCTGAGGCTGAGCTCTTAAACTTGAAGCCCTTCGTTGGGCTGAGCTCAAGGCCGTGGCCGAGCTCTTAAACTTGAAGCCCTTCGTTGGGCTGAGCTCAAGGCCGAGGCCGAGCTAACAATTTTGAAGCCCTTTATTGGGCTGATGCCGAGCTTTTAATCTTGAAGCCCTTCGTTGGGCTGAGCTCGAGGCTGATGTCGAGCTTTTAAACTCGAGGCCCTTTGTTGGGCTGAGCTCAAGGCTGAGGCCGAGCTTTAATCTTGAAGCTCTTCATTGGGCTGAGCTCGAGGCTGATGCCGAGCTTTTAAACTTGAGGTCCTTTGTTGGGCTGAGCTCAAGGCTGAGGCCGAGCTTTAATCTAGAAGCCCTTCATTGGGCTGAGCTCGAGGCTGATGCCAAGCTTTAAAACTTGAGGCCCTTTGTTGGGCTGAGCTCAAGGCTGAGGCCGAGCTTTAATCTTGAAGCCCTTCATTGGGCTGAGTTTGAGCTCAAGGCCGAGGCCGAGCTAACAATTTTGAAGCCCTTTATTGGGCTGAGTTGAAGCTCAAGACTGAGGCCGAGCTTTTAAACTTGAAGCCCTTCACTGGGCTGAGTTGGAGCTCAAGGCTGAGGCTGAGCTCTTAAACTTGAAGCCCTTCGCTGGGCTGAGCTCAAGGCCGTGGCCGAGCTCTTAAACTTGAAGCCCTTCGTTGGGCTGAGCTCAAGGCCGAGGCCGTGCTAACAATTTTGAAGCCCTTTATTGGGCTAATTTGGAGCTCAAGGCTGATGCCGAGCTTTTAAACTTGAAGTCCTTCGTTGGGCCGACCTCAAGGCCGTGGCCGAGCTTTTAAACTTGAAGCCCTTCACTGGGCTGAGTTGGAGCTCAAGGATGAGGCCAAGCTCTTAAACTTGAAGCCCTTCGTTGGGCTGAGCTCAAGGCTGAGGCCGAGGTTTAATCTTGAAGCCTTTCATTGGGCTGAGCTCGAGGGTGATGCCGAGCTTTTAAACTTGAAGCCCTTCATTGGGCTAAGCTCAAGGTCGTGGCCGAGCTCTTAAACTTGAAGCCCTTCGTTGGGCCGAGCTCTTAAACTTGAAGCCCTTCACTGGGCTGAGTTGGAGCTCAAGGTTGAGGCTGAGCTCTTAAACTTGAAGCCCTTCGTTGGGCTGAGCTCAAGGCCGTGGCCGAGCTCTTAAACTTGAAGCTTTTCGTTGGGCTGAGCTCAAGGCTGTGGCCGAGCTAATAAATTTGAAGCCCTTTTTTTGGACTGAGTCGAAGCTCAAGACCGATGCCGAGCTTTTAAACTTGAAGCCCTTTTTTGGGCTGAGCTCAAGGCCGAGTCCGAGCTAGTAAATTTGAAGTGCGACGACGAGAATCTTTGTCAAATTGCCATCTGCTTGGATCTCGAGCTCCATTCTAGAGTCTCTCGGAGGATCAAAAGCCATTTTTACGGTAGGGTTTGTCTCCTTATATTTATGTGGTTTTAGCAATTTCAGGGTGCGTGAGGTCGCCTGCAATCTGTCGCTTCGTGCTATGCCGCGCGTGTTCACCTTGGATGGGAGTCAAAATTTGTCGTTTCACACAGACGGCGCCAATGTTCGGTCCTGGATAGACCGTATTGCTATACTGTAGGGTATGCGCTCAGAGATAGTGTATATCAAGTGTATACTAGGCTTATAGCCGAGGTCCCAATCATTGCGCACAAGCAATAGGCTTATAGCCAAGTGGTGGATGTGTGCACAGTGTGGGCAGTATTAGTAAATAGGTTAAAAGTGTATACCTGGGGTTTTTAACCTCTTATTTATAAGGGTTACCTATTGGGCTTGTGTCGATCTCCCAGTTGTAGTAGGATTTAACTTCCTTTCTGTTGGGATAGAGACTCTATCCTTAGCTGCCTTACTGTTTTATATTGTTAGGATACTTGGAAAATTATCCTTTAAGGGATCCTTGAGTAGGTGGTTAGGATATGGAAATATTCCATAACACTATTTATTTTTTCTTTGTTAAAAGTATTTGAATTGATTCATCGGAGGTTACCTGCACTGTAAATTATTATTTGACTCTTTTTGGAAGTTTCAGATAAAATTTAAATATTATTTATGGATTTATTTTCTCTGAACGATCACATATAATTTATCTGCATTGAACTCAAAATGATGTTATTTTGGGACGGAAATTAAGGTAATTTATTTTAAGGTTATAATACTTTTTATCGTTATATATTTTTTTAATTTTTTAATCATAAAATGATGTCATTGTGTGAATAAATACAAATAATTTATTTGCGATCACTGTAAAAATACTTTTCTGATTATTTATTTAATATTTATATATATCCTCTCATGATTTCTGTGAGTGACACGCAGTATTTGCATATATGAAACTGTTACGTGGAGACACAGAAAACATTCAAGCAAACACAGCAACCCCACCAAAAACAGCCGCCCTTTCTCCCTTCCACGTACCTTACATGCAAGATCCCGAATTTTCTATATTAGTTTAATTAAATTATTTAAATTAAATTATAGTAATGATTTAAAATTTATTTATTTAATTTAGGGAAACATTATATTTACAAAATTTTTGTTTACAAACTATACTAAGTATGACCAGTCATACTTCAATCAAGAGTGTATTACCGGTCGTACTTAGTGTAATTTATAAAAAAAAAATTTATAAATGGATCATTCCCCTTTAATTTATGTTATTTTATATATGAAAAAGAATATTTATTATTTTGAATTACATATAATTTTGAATTACATATAATTTTGTGTTATTTTAACTAAAATGATCCTGTTTTAAAGCATATTAATTTATTGATTTTTATATTCTCTTTCTTCTTAATTTTGTAGAAGAAAGAGAATGTAAGAAAAGCTAATATATATATATATATATGGGTAAAGGATTTCTCAAATCGTCGGAGATAAAGTTATTTCCAGTGAGCTTAAAATGACGTCGTTTTGAGATAGAAATCAAATTATTTTTATAATTATAATATATTGCAGGGTTATATTAGTCTTTGTCATTATAATTTTTTAATCTTATAACTCCAAAACAACGTCGTTTTGAGCACAGTGAAGATAACTTTATCTCCGGTGATCGGAGAAATACTTCTCCCCATATATATATATAGGAAAATCATTTGGTTATGTTACATAAAATCGACTATTCCTTCCTGCAAACACATGGATATCCGTGCATCATTTTTTTATTTTACAAAACTGATGGGGCCCACTTGCATTATAAGTGTAACATGATGCAAGTTTTTTCCTGTGACATATTACTCATAATATATATATATATATCAAAATATAGTTGTTTTATTTAAAATAATACAAAATTTTGTCTTTTTAAAATGACAAACATTTCTGTTTTGTGTTTTTTTTTTTAATGTTTGAATGTTCTTAAATAATAATTAGTGTTACAATGGAGTTACCATTTTTTTCTTTAGGATCTTATGGAACATTTAGATTTAGATTAATTGATTAAAATAATAAAAAATATATTATAATAACATGTAGATTAAAATATCTTAATTTTTTTTATATCTCCTTTATATATAATGATTTATTTGCAAAGAAGGCCATTTTTGTGATTTAAACATTATGGGTTCGAATTTGTGACATGGCCTTTCTATAAATATATAAGGGTCAAGTTGTATACAAAATTACCTTCCATACATTCTAATTAGTCAGGATTTAATGGAAAATAATTTTATAATAATTTATTTCCCTTCTTAATTAAGATAGTATTAATATGATTAAGTTATATTTTGATATTATAGTTTATGATATCATATCATTCTATAATACATAAAAGAATATCATATAAAGTCTTTATTTTTTACTAAAGCAAATATATAATTTTAATAGAAAAAGTTTCTAATTTATAAATCTTGAGAATAATTTTATTTTCCAACAACATTTATAATCAAGACAAAGCCATCCAACTGGCTGTTGGGACCAATAAAGAAACACTTGGCCTCGTATCAACACATGAAACTGCTAGGTGGATGCATAAAAATAAACATTCAAGCAAACACAGCCACTCCATCAAAACCATCGACACCAATATCACCCTTCCCCTTCCACGTACCTTGCATGCAAGACCCCAATTCTTCTATAAAAGCCCCATCCATATACATTCACTTCTCATCAAAACCAAACACCAAAGTTACAACACTACAGTCATACACATATATATTTCCACTAAAATGGCGAAGTTCATCATTCTAGTAACCGTGCTAGCCGCCCTTCTCTTGGTTGCAAACGCTAGAGAATCAAAACAGGAGCAACAGAGTTGCAAGGAGCAACTCCAGAGGGTGAACCTGAAAAAATGTGGGAATTACATAAAGGAGAAGCTTGAGGAGGATCAGGAAGAGGAAGAGGATCGTGTTCTTAGCTTCCGGGGAATTCATTCCTTAAGGCGTAATAGTGACCGCAAGCAATTAGAGAGCTGCTGCGAAGAGCTGAATGAATTGGATAGCCCCAAATGCCAGTGCCGTGCATTGCAGAAGATTTATGAGAAGCAAAGTGAGAAATTGGAGAGTAGTGATGAGCAAGACTTGGAGGAAGAGGTCAAGAATTTGCGTAGGGCATGTGGCCTTGGACCCCTGCGAGGCTGTGAATTGCGCAGTGAGGACTAAATAGTAGTAATAGCTTATGCTATAGTAATAAGCTATCTATGTACTTTATATAATAAGTAATAATAGAGATCATAACTAATGATCCGAAGCCAATCTAAGCACTTAGAGTGTGCTTTTTGAGTTTTCCTATGTTTTGCTAATGTAGACGTGTAATGCGGTTAAATAAAAATCTTTGCTTTGCCATCGAATTAAGTTCTGTTTTTGACATTTTGATTAATCTGCCAAATACGGGGTGTTATAATTCAATTGCTTTAGTTAATGTGGATTACTAAATATGGGGTCATTGGGGTGTTATAATACTGAACCTATGACCTCAACTCTAAAATGACAGTTTTTCCATGTGTGCCACTTATTTACACTATTTTTTACAGTTTGTTTTCTACGTAACCTTATTCACTAAGTTATTAATTGCCTTAATCCTCTATAAGTGTATTGTCTTATTATTGGATTTTAGCTTGAAATTTGTTCTTATGTCTCGTACTTATCTCCCCTATCATATAACTTTTGTATTTTATATTGAAAAGCATGTTAAAATAAACAGTAAAAGTAAATTAAGGACAAAATATCATTAACAAACCTACAAAATAAATCCTAGCAAAAGTGAATGAGTTAATGTGTAACTTAGAAATCCTAGTTGTGGCACTGTGCAGGATTTGTTTCAGCAGTTTAAATCTAAAATTAAAAATGAAAACGAAAAATTGATCATCCCTTTGGTTTTACTTTTATTTTTATTTTTTTATAAAAAATGGGGCCCATATGTTTATCTGACATAAGACAAGATTAAATTTAGAACCAAATTGATTAGATGATCAAAAAGTATGAAACAAGATTAAATATTCATCCAATTTGTGAAGACCCTAGTTTAAACTTAAAATTAAAGAGGATTCAACCTACCTAAGAATCTTGCGTTTTTAAGTTATTATTAGAGGTAGGATCTTTGACGCTAATTCAAATTTTAAATTTGACATCCCATCGGATAACCGTAGATCAAAAAAGATCCTGCAAGCATATGACACTATTGATCTTTTTTTATCTAACGACTATCAAATGAGTTGTCAAATACTAATGTCAAAGAATCCTAGCGCGTATTTACAAAAGTTATATTCTAATATGTGGGCGTGTCACTAAAAATATAAACAATATCAGCTTTAATCAAATTGGGTTCATTTATGTTACCAAAAATCAAATTGGGTTCATTTATGTTACCAAAAATAAAAAAAAATAAAAAATGGGGCTCATTTACAAAAGGAATATTGTGATGCATGTGTCAGTACGTCACTAAATGACAAATTGACATTATCGGCCTTGCAGAGTATCAAGTACCTACAAAAGGAAAATTTATGAGAATATCCATGTCCGTATGTCACTGTATATTAAATAAGAGCCTACTTTTTTTTTAGAATATGTATAAATCTTTTTATTCTATTATATAAAAAATAACACACCTTTTTTTTTTTTTTTTAAATTATGTATTTAAATATTGTAAATTACAATCGTTTTTTAATTTATATCCTTTATATTCCTTTTGAATTGATTGAATATCTCTTTTGTATATAATTTCAAATACTTTTTCTTTTGATCTATATTTTACTTAAATTTCGAATACTCATGTATATAACATAGCTAGAAATAATCATATACAGACGTTTACTAGAGGAGAAATTTTTTTTATCGAGAATCTCGATTTTCAAAAATATGATTTTTACATTCAGTTTACAATAATATCCGAAAATACAAAATTAAGAAAAATTCAGTTTCCCGCAAATTCTGGAGAATTACGCATACCAAACGCCCCCTAAGTGCACCTGAATCATTCCCTCATATAAATCTCAGAAGAATAAGTCTTGGCACAAGCGATATTGATAATTATTTCTTCTGATGAACATTTTTTTTTAAACTTAAGGTAATTGTGAGATATTCATGACATTTTTTTTCTTTATAAACTTTTAACGTTTTCATTTTTATTTTGTATACCATACAGATTCTTACGCCAAAGCCACTATAACATCCTCGTCTCGAGCCGGTTCAATTAACATACATATGATACAAACAAAAGCAGCGGAAGACTTAACTTACGAAAATACGAGCTAACTTTTTCTTTTTATATTTTAATTCTTACTCGGCAGAGACGAAAATCGGACAGAGTAACCTCTATAACTCGGACAACTGGAGATTTTTCAATCCCACTCACAAGAGTTCCTGATAGACATATTTTACAGCATATACATTCAGAAGTACCAGACATCCAAATATAATCATAAATCCATCCATGGGCACATGCATAGTTTGGCTCCGTGCCACTAATCTAACAGCATGCAATCCAATACGTAAAACATAACTGAATACTACATAGTCATATCCACATGCCTGAATACACAAATGTACTTGCATCAAACTAACGGACATGTACAAGACATATACAGGCCATATACAAAGTAAGGGATCCAACATCATGATCCATCAAATGCAGAAATAATAAATAACATATATGCACTCCAAAAGGTTAGTAGCCTACAACAACTCAAAAATTGATCCGTCCCAATGCCTCAACCACGGGTCGCGTCCTTGCCTAGTGAAGACTCACCGGGAATCTGGGCACCTGAAATATGTCCCCAAAGAGGGGTGAGATTACAAATCTCAATAAGCTCCAGGTTTATAGAGAATTCTCCATACCCTTGGCTCACTCCTGCATGAAAGTCAGATACAGAGTATACAATGCACATATAACAGATATCATAACAGAACAAAGCATATATCCATATCATATCAGAGGCGTGCGCCGTCATTCCCAAGGGAGGACCCCAAGCGAAATTGAACGCACGTGTTCCCAAAGGAGGACCCCAAGCGGAACCAGAACATGTCAGAGGTGTACATCGTCAATCTCAGGGGAATCCCAAGAAGACATCAGTGTACCATACATCAATACATAAATCATATCAGAACAAGCCATATCATGTTATCAAATAACTCTATATGAATGTATCTATACAGAGTATCAAAATAACAGTCATAAAGTCCAACCATAGTTCATTAACCATGGTGGAGCACTCAAGCAGGAAAAGACTCCTTAAACATAGAGCTTACCTCTTGAAGCTTTTCAAATTCGCTTACTTGTGGCACAAGTTACTTATACCGCTTCAACAGGATTCAAACTCTTTTCAGTCCCTAGGCACACCTAGAGAAAGAATCCAAAATACAAATCAATAAAATGCTATCATGCCTAAATTTTACATAAGACATACATTCTATCGCTTATTTTTGTTTCTTTACATTTTTGCCAATCCTATGCCAATACACAAGTCTAGACCATTTTATACTCCTTAGCGTTCTTTAATTTAACCAAATGTTCACTGGAGCATTTTCCACATAATTCATGCCATTTTCTTTAAAAGGCCGTGGACCTACACTTAGGAAATCAAGATATTTTTCTATAATTTCTTTTTAAACCATTTCACTTCATAATCTTATTAATTTCATGTGTTGAGAACTCAACACCTTAACAAAATAAAACATAATCTAATCATCCTTAATTTACCCTATAAGGCCGAAATTCATAAAGGAGAAGCCAAGGGTTTCTTTCTTTTTCATCTATTCTCTTCACTTACAAAATAACTCACATATACCTAAGCCTATATAGGTATATTGTCACAAGGTATTCAACTAATTTTTTTTGAACATAAACACCCCTCCAAAGCCCGTCATGGCCGAACTCATAAGGGCATATTTCATAAGATTTTCCCCCACTTTTGCATTCTTAGCTAACTCATCAATTTTCCACTTCCTCTAACATATTAATCTTCCCAAAACATACAATAAAATTTTTGCACAACATCCTCCCCATTATCTATGATGGCCGAAACATAAAGGGCATTTCGCCATGGGATTTTTTTTTTCAATTTTATACATGTTCACAAGCTTATTTCACATTCCAATATTTAACACACCAATAATCTATCATCAATTCAATTTTAAACTATATTTATTTCCCACCAACATGCTCATAATTTTTCAAGACTTAAATCACCAAAATAAAACTATAGAAATAGAGGTCCCTTACCTCTAATCACATGTACAGAGCCTAGAGAGCAACCTCTAACCCAAACTCCATCAAAACTCCACTTTTTCTTCTTGGATGAATAGTAAAACGAAAAGGGGGTGAGGAAGAACTTCCTCCACAAACGAAATCAGCCCAAATAGAGGGGTGAAATGGATTCCTTGGGTGATTTCCTATGAATTTTGTGTAATGGACCTAAGGATTTGGTTGAGCATTTAAGGAGAAATCAAAGAAAAACAAAACAACCAAAACCTAGCCCCCCATTGATGAAGCTCGGGTTTTTGAGAGAGAGAAGAAAGGGAAACTGATGTGAATAGTGCTAACTTAAGCCACTTAAGGGTTTTAAGCAAATGTGGCCTTTTTACCCGGTTGTTTTTCTATCGCGTATTTTAACTTAAACTGACCCGGAACTAACTTAAAGCTACGAACATATTTTTATTATTTTTCTGAACACATTTATATTAATCTTTTATTTCCTAAGGAACAATATTCATAATTCACAGTATGGTTTCTGCACCGTTTTTGACGAAATGCACTGTGAATCACTAACTGTACTTCGTTTACTTACGAAACTTAAAACTTATAAACTTATCATTCTTGGGCCTATTTTGACTTGCTTGACATATATTGGACTTTCTTAATCTTATTTTATCAATTATTTGCTTCTGGATTCTACCGGTTGCTTAAACAACAGTACAAAATACCCGGTAGAAAATACTATTCACGTGATTTTCACGGAAAGTGCCAGACTATGTATACAATTTTTTGTTCTGAACTCATATTTGGCGTCAGAATTGTCATATTATGTCTCTAACATCATTTTGTTCATTTAAGCTCTACCGCTTAACTCACAAGATTGCAAATTATCCGGCAGAACGCACTGTTCATAACCTAGTCATGATTACAGTCAAAATACTCGAAATCAAGCTCTGAATCTAATTATGGA